CTCCTAAATCACTCGTACGCACAACTTAAGAACAAATCTGTGCGTACGAACGGTTCTTGCATGAGGCCCATTGAGAATTCCTTATACACAGGTAAAGGTGAAGCAGGCGCTCAAAGATGTAGACGGATGACATCGTTTAAATACTTTTGACACGTGTTCCATCACAAACAACATCTTACTGTAAAGATTATCTTTCTTAATAGAGCAATAGGTTTTTAAAATGCATTTTTAAAAGYCCAGAAATTAAAACCAACCCATATGCTTTTTTTCCATAATCCCTCGGGATCTTTTATTTTATTTTTTTAACAACATGTAGCTAATTCTCACAAGCATTACTGTATATTAATTACCTTGTTTACAGATCTATGCTAGCAGTCTAATAAGGTGTACGTATGAGCAAATCAAGCATTGGAGTCTTGTTATTTTGAGTGACATTACCCAGTTAAGAATTTTTTTCTGTAAACTTGGTTTAGAGTTTGTAAGACAGGCTAAATATTTAAGCAGATGATTGGTGTAGTATGTGGAAGTAATGACTAACAGAAAGCATRCATCAATTATTGTACTTTATGGTTTTTAGAAATCCACTCCCTAAGTTACATCTACACGGCCTTCTCCAAACCTGTGGGTCTTCCTGGCTTCCATGAGTTCACCGCCATGGGTCTGTTGGACAACAGGATGATTGACTACTACGACAGCAATGAGCAGATGAAAGTTCCCAAACAGACTTGGATGAAGGAGAAACTTGAACAGGAGTATTGGGAAAAAGGCACACAGTCCAGGAGAAGCAAGCAGCAATGGTTCAAGGTCAACATCGACATTTTGATGAAACGACTGAGACAGAATAACACAGGTAAGATTTAATGGCATTAAAGTACCAATGACTATTATTAACAGCATAAATTATGGTACATATAAAATCACTTACTTCACTTTAGTAACTAAACGTCACTGTTTATACTTCAATTTCAATGCTTGAATTTTGTCTTGCCTAGMTGCACATTTAACATCTTTTATTGGTGTTTATTGATTTAAACTTTTTAATTTTCTTACAGATAACCATGTTCTTCAGTGGATGCATGGCTGTGTGGGTGAGAGTCAGCCTGATGGAAATCTTAAGTTCATCCGTGGGATGGACATGTACAATTACGATGGAAGTGATTTCCTCTCCTTCGATGATGCAAGACAAGTCTGGGTTGCCCCAGTTGATGCYGCATTGGAAACCAAGAGAAAGTGGGATGATGTCCAGGTCCTGAAGGAATACACCAAAGGTTACCTGGAGAAGGAGTGCATGGARTGGATGAGCAAGTTTATAGACTATGGCAAAGAGCAGCTCAAAAATGCCTGTATGTATTTATTTAATCCTCTCAAAAATAAATACCTGTGCATGTTTTCTGATAAAACGAAGCAATTTAGAAAGCATTTGTAATATTTAAAATGGTTAGTTTAATGTAATAATTAGTTTTATGAAGTATAACAGCTTGTTCTGTTTTTCCTAGTTTTTGTCTGAACATCTTGGAGTCGACTATAGATCAGAAGTATTGGGATAAAGGCACACAGTCATGGAGGACTATAGTGAATTTAATGCACCAGATTGGAGAGGGCAAAACAAATCTGATAAGGGTTTCTGCATTAAAATTYGACCAAAATGTCAATGCTGTTTATAAAACACAGTGGTGGGCACAAGTCCGCTAAGGCRCAAATCCGCTAATTGCAGACCTAAACATTATATTTGCRTTTTAGCGGACTTAGTAATTTTTATAATTCATAAGCAGATATGTGCTTTTTAAACTTAAATTGCAGTTCTGCTAATAACTAATTATCTACCGGTCATCATTATCTTGAACAGCRGAGGGTATGGCTGTCAGGACTCACAAYGCATGTGATCCATCCAACAGCTCCCYTCCCAKCTARAYACTATAAYTGGGAAGGTATACGTCCTTCCTGACCGTCGCTTTGGGTCACGGTTCAGTCGGTTCTCATTTTAGTAGGTCAGCTTYGCAAAGTATTTTTGCTGGCAGCAATCTAAATTACTCATATGGCTTCWGTTAAATTATAATAAACACAGTGCAAAAGACAATATTCAGCAGCCAGCAGGGATCCACATTTTACAGACATTTCCCACAATGCTTTGTGTCTGCTTACGTAGCTGGAAGACAATGTTTAGAACTCCCTTTCCCCGCAAAAACAGTAACGTTTGTAATCCATACTAAAGTTTTGTATGTATTGATTTATTTTACTTTACAATCGGAGCTCCCCTTTTTTTAAAAATAAAGTTTAAATGCTGGAGCTCAATACTTGACGTAATTGGTYGAAGCAACAGGGTTATAGACTTATGCTGACGAAGACTGACACCTAATGGTCAACTGGAGCAGCTGCAATTACATGGAAAACGTCCTGATGCATCTCAGTTATCCAGGTAGAAAAAAATCAAAAAGAAAAAAATAAGTAGGTCCTCTGGATGGGTTCTTCTTTAGTGAAACGTTTCGTTTCTCCTCCAAGAGACTTCTTCAGTCTGATGAGTTTTAGGTGAACTGGAATCCAATGGAAACATGGAAAACTAAAATCCAAGCTCTTATTTTGAAGGGAAGATACTAGTTTCCTGTTCTCCGTGCTTTCGTTTCCCGTCACGAATGTACCCAGAATGCATCACTTCAGTTTTCCAATAAACAGTTTTAAAATTACTTTATTGATGCTTCTTTAATGAAAAATCTACACCAAACAAAAGGAAAAGACAAAGAATCAGCCGAACTAGCAATCCTCAGCAACTTTTTAAAGAATCAGCCGAACTAGCAATCCTCAGCAACTTTTTAAAGAATCAGCCGAACTAG